GATACTTTACTATTTTTGCAATGTGTTTTGTTATGTTTTTTTTTTACTTCATGATAATTGTATTAACCTTTATGATACTTTTTGTCTGCTTCATAAAATTTGTGGTCGACTTTGAATTTTCTTATCTGCTTTATAAGTTGTATGGAGTGATTTCTCATATTTATGATCTCCTCTAAGTTTACTAATATGCTTCATGATGTTTGTGGTCAATAGTATGAATTTTATGGTCCTCTTTTGAAAATTTGCAGCCAGCTTTGAGTTTTTTATATAATTTATGAGTTTTATGATGAGTTGAGTTTCTTGTATGTTTTATGAGTTTTCAATATAAATTTGTGGTGAACTCTTTCAATATAAAAAGTCACCACAATAATATTGTTTCTATTGACTGAAGCATCTTACTAAAAAATTAGGTGTTAACACCCTAACTTTAACCGCTAATCAGTTTATTTTGATAATATCAACCATACATTTCACTCCCAACGTGGTAAACACTAAACAAATTGAAATTGAATTGGATGATTTCTCGCCTCGAATTAATTTGACGATGGCTTATAATTACATCCCCCATAGTTTTAGTTGTAATATTTGTGGCTAATTTACTATCATGGAAAAGAGGACCCTGATTGCTTTCATTGAGGATGATTAATTAATGCACAAATCGGTATATGTCTAATTACAAAACAAGGTTTGTTCTTATGAATAGATTTGTGTTTTCTCTCTTATAGAGCGGCAGTTGATCCAAGATCCAAACCTCTAATGTGACAAATATTTCCCTCCCATTAATATCTAATCAACACCAAACCACAATAAATAATAAGCTTAGGCCTTAGCTTACCATCACTAGTGTTATATTCTTTTGTCTCGCCGATAATTTAGAGATCGTTTTGGCTTTTAACCCTCCAAATTAAGCACATCCAGCAAATTGCTTATTTCTATATACCATTGTCGGCTGTTTCTGTTACTGCATGTGGATTTGACAGTTAAGGGCGGCTTTTGTTTCTTGTCGTGAGTGCGGTTTTGTTTTTGTGGTTTCATTTGTTAATGTTTTTCTCTTGTTCTTTCCTCGTCACTTCCGTGTATCTGGTCATTTCGTGATGCTTTGCTGGTTTGGTTCTCTTTTGTTCTGCAGTTGTAAGACTCTTGTTTTCTTCCTTTCAATTTCCTTTTATCATTAATAACAATTCATCATTATTAAAAAATGTATAGTATGATTATCGGTAGGGATGAAAATTGTCACGATCCGCCCCTGACCCTGTCTGACCCATCTCACCTTTGTTTCTTTCATGACCCTGTCTGACCCTAAACCTGTCTGACCCTTTAGGGTCATGGCGGGTCAAGAAGGGCCGAGTCAGTGGGTCAACCCTAATAAATACATTGCTTTTCTAAAAATTACAAATTGGTCCAACATGTTTATGTTTGTATGATGCTAAAGGTCATAGGGTCAAAAAAAAAATATATGACCTGACCCTGTAGACAAGCTGAACCAGCCCGACCCTCAGAGTCGAGGCGGGTAAGTGGATTTTAAGGTCAAACTTACACCCTATTCATGGGTGGCCAATAAGCTTGCTCAATATAGTAATCCATAATTAAGAATAATTATCGCCAAATGTTCTTGCTAACTTATGTAGTTAAGAATATTTAGCAAGTTTGACCGGCCAACGATGACACAGGCTGCGTCAATTAAGGTTGAAGATGCCTGTGGTCGGTAGATATGAATTGTTGACTAGTTAATTAGCGTCCTAGATTTATAATGAATTATTAGTTAATTAATAGCTATTCAATATAGTTAATAGTACCATGCGCTAATCAATTAATTAATTAGCGTCCTAGATTTACTTAATGCTTAATTATTTGACACTTTGCATGACACAATGTTAATAAGGTAGTCAAAGCAATGGTGACTTTTTGTGACGTGGCAAAAATGTGGCTGACATGCAGCACCCTCGCCTATCAGGTCCAGGAATGGCTTCGAGTAATGGCGAGGGAGGTGACGAGTGCGAGGAGTGGCCTGACTGGATAGACTGTGGTCATGGATATAGTGTTTCCCTAGGCGTTGATTTGCTCCTTTGATGGCGCACTAAGTGGTGATTCCTATGCGGCAATAAGGATTGTTATTCAAGATACAACAGAGGCTGTTGTGATGGCTAAAGGAGAACGATTGGAAGGGGAGTTTGAATCGATCGTGGTAAAATTGGTTGTCCTTCGGGAGGCTCTCTATTGGTGCATTGAGAATGGTTGGGATTCGGTGAAAGTGCAGGGATGCCAAGATTATCATTGACAAGGTTAATGCGCGGTGTGTGTTGGATGCCAAGGGTGGGGCGCTTCTCCGAGATATCGGGACTTTTCCGACACATATATCCTGGTTATCTAGTTCGGTTCGCTGGTAGACAAAACAACAGAGTTGCCCACTTGGTGGCAAGGAAGACCCTCGTATTATTATCACCTAGTGTTGTGCTAGAATTTGATTTTTGCACTTGGCTCCGTGTGGAGATGCCATAGAATTAAATGGAAATCATGTGTAATAATAAATCATTTAAAGATGTGAGCGTCAAATACTCAAATCTAAGTTGTCAAAAAAAAAAAAAAAAAAAACTCAAATCTAACTGGACTTGTCTTCTGGGTTGTTCGTTGGGTTATTGGGAGCTGGATTTGGACTTTTTGGGTTGTACGAGCCCAATAAAATATTTCCGGTTGGTATCATTTAGGGTGGGCTATTTTGGGCTGTCTATGGCAGTGAAAATTGGGCTTTTTCCAAATGTTTGACTAGGTCCAACTACACATTTTTGTGGGGTTAAGGTAAAATCCAACTGGCACCATTAATGTTTACTCGGTCCAACCGCACGCTTTTTTTGACGCGTCCAGCTGGCGAGAAAAAAGCAAAAAGGGTCAATTACGTCCAGCTGGCAACGCATAATTTTAGCTAATGAAGTGCAACGCGTCCAACTGGCAAAAGAGCGTACAGCTGGCAAATAACGGCTAAACCGACTTCAAACCGCCTTTCTGCATTTATAAATAGGGATAAAATATCGGGTTCCCTTCGTTATTTGTTGTCTGTGCCGCCAAGAAGCGTTGAACAAAATTAGATAGCGTTTGATCTCTGGTGGTTCTGCATTTTTAGGGTTTCGATTAGGAGGTCGGATCCGTACGAGTTTAGCCGATTGATCTTCTAGTTTATTCCTTTCTCGTTTCTCTACAGAAATTGAGTTCTCCCATGGACCGCATTGATGATTTCTTACTCTCCACTCTCTTTTTTGGGGAATATAGTGTTCGATCTGATGGCATTTCTCGTACCCGCATAATTACTAAGTACAGTCCAATTAGTTGTTGAGATTTCTCTGTTGATCCTACAACTTCTTCTAACAGATGATTGTTAGGGTTTGATCGTGGGTATTTCTGGAAGGCGGCGACTTCTGTGATTCGAGGTAAGCTTCCGGCCGGTTTTGCCCCCGCTTTTAGTGCGTTGGGTAATGAGAGGTGAATTGATCTTCGGCAATCATTATTGGATGGGATGGCATGATAGTTGGATTTTTTCCATGTTTGTTTCCATTAGGCGAAACTTCCTTGCGATCGGATGAACGCCTTGATGGCCCATGTTGGGAACTCTTCCAAAAAGTTGCTTTTCTTGGAAGCCCAGTGAGGTGAACGTTACTTATCGATTGATAATGAATTTAGCCCAAAAGCTTGAGTCTGATTATGATTATCTGTTGTAAGTGCCTTGCCAGTATCTTGCTCCTACGTCGAGTCCCTAATCTTCAACAAGATAAAGTGGGTGTGAGGGTGTATTGGCCTTAACTTCTCTGTACAGTGCATTGATTTAAGGTAATGGAAGAGAAGAATTGAAAGCCTCTATCAGCCTTAACGTCTCCGTGTTGCCTCATATCAATTTTTGGTTTTCAGGGTTTTACTAACTTGTACTTTTTTATGTCTCGTTGATCTCTATAGGAGCCAGTTTAAGTTGTCAGATGTTGAATTAGCTAAACATCTTCGTCGTAATAATAATTGGAAATTCTGAATTCCCTCTGTTCGCGATCTCATATGCCTTGATCTTGATAGTAGTGGAACTGCGGAAGTTGAAGGGGCCATTTCAAGTTGCAAGAAGCAAGTTGGGCATTCTGATTTGAATGCTTGATGCCCATCTGAATTTCTACCGAGGTTGTGGCATCTAATCAGGTTATATCTTAAATTTTCTGATCAATAATTGGAGAGGCATGGTTTCGAAAACAAGAGCTGGAGTGAGAGCCGCATGGATATGCGAATGGAGGGACAGGGTTACACTTCGGTGCTGTGTGTGCATGATGCCATGAATCTAATCTTCCCTCGTGTATTGTTTTGCTTTTGCTTAATCCTGTGAATTGTTTATGGTTTTAAGAATCAAAGAACTCATAAAAGTTGGTATATTGTGAGATCCATGGTGGGCGTGTAAATATTCATGATGGTTGGAGGGGTCAACGGAGAAGTCGAAGAGTAGATTTGCAGTTTGCCATACAAGACTAGAGTCGGGTAACAAAATGTTGATCACATCATGATTTTGCAGAAGTGCCTTTTTATTTTAGTTGCGTGCAGAAGAGTTCAAATCTTGCGCTAGCTAGCTATAGCTTGACTGGTTGCTGATGGAAACGAGTTTCTAGTGTTGCAGATGTGGAGGCTAATTAATTCAACCGGCCGGATGCATGTGTCTATAAAATTCTAATTACTCGATCGCTTGATTGGTGTGTTTGATTAATGTAATTGGTTTAGGATGGATATCTCTGCTCTGGAAGAACTTCCGGCCACGATGAAGGAGGCCTACCAGATCGTCCTCGTTAAGCTGTTCGAAGAAATCGAAGAAGCAATCTCAGGGACTGGACCCACTTATGGCGTTGAATATTGTAAGCGAGAGGTGCGTATTTCTTTAATTTGTGGGAGTATGATCCAAATTATTAAACCTCCCTCCCTCCCTCGACAAACAAATCAAACTCACTCACTGTAATGTAATCGATCCGATGGTGCGTGCGTTGTAGTTCAAAAGATTGTGCCGGTCCTTCTTGGGCGAGGCCCGGTGGCGCACTGAGGGTCATGTTCCGAAGCTGGAGGAGTACCTGAGTCATGCAAACATCACCGGCGGCTATTTCTTCCTCTGCCCGTCCGCGTACTTGGGCATGGAACCAGAGCTGGCCACTCCAGAGGCCTTTGAGTGGGTAGCCGATATAACTAATAAGATGGTGATGGCCTCCACTTCCATCTGTAGGGTCCAAAACGACATCATGTCCTACCCGGTACGGCGCTCGCTTGGTTAGAGTAGTACTCGATCATGAGATTTACACGTACGTTACGTACACGTCGTTGTTCGTTTCTTGATGATCATGTGCATATATGCAGTTCGAGCAAAAGAGGTCGCACGTGGCGTCGGCGGTACAGTGCTTCATGAAGGAGCACGGTGTCTCCGAGGAGGAGGCGACAAAGGCAATGTGGGGCCGGATTTCGGATGCCTGGAAAGACATGACTGAGGTGTATTGCCAGAAGCCAACTCCATTGCCCAGAGCTTTGCTGTTGCCGGTCATCAACTTCGCGCGCACCATCAGTGTCATTTACTTGAAGGCCGATGCCTACACTCACCCCCAGTTCCTGAGGGAACGCATTGCCGACCTCTTCGTCAATCCGGTGCCGCTTTGAACCTCCAGATCAACCGCCCGCTACCCGGATTAATTCCTTTTAAATCAAAAACAACTTCTTCGTCTTGTGTTTTCTTCCTTCCTTCCTTCTTCCTTGAATGGTTGCTTCCTTCCTTGTTTTGCTTCCTTTTCCAGAGTGTGCGTGCGTTTTGTTTTGTTGTTGGACTTGGCTCTATTTCAGCTTCATTGCTTTCTTTTCAGCTTGCTTTCCTTTTCGGATCGAGCGCTTTGTGTTGGATTCGATATGCATGGTTAAGATTGACCCAATGGATTTTAACCTCTACTTAGAAAATTTACCGTACGTATACCTTTGGCTGGGATTGTTGATCAAGGGAACTAATGAGTGGATGGCACCCAAGCAAGTCTCGCTTAACGCGATTATAATGACTATCTGAGATGTCTTGTATTCAACTCTAATTATCATGAGCTTATTTTGTTTGACTCAGATCGTTAGTTGAAACACAACTGTGATAATTATTGTAGCTACCTAGAAGCGTAGTAGTCGATGACCAAACTATAACAGGATACATCTTTGTTACTCCCGTGTGAGAGGCATTCTTTACGGTAAATATTATCTTCTTATTCATGACGGCGTAAACCAAGTACATTAATTAATATATAAAAGTCTAACATGTGAGTTATTATTCATTAGTGGCTCCCAAACTTTTTCAAGTACAAATGGAGTATGGACAATTTTCATTTGTTTTTTTTTTTCTTCTTCACTCACATATCCTTCTCCTAAATTTCTAAAAATTGGAGAACCTCCTATTACCCCACTCTCCATTTCATATCATTTATTTCAACTTGTGTCCATTAAGTTTTCCCAATTTAATGTCCATTTACTCAAATCTCTCCCAAGTATCTTCTTTTACCCAACTCTCTCATTTTACATCCTCTATGTTTAACTCTTGTCCACTGAGTCTACATCGATTGTCCATCGTCTATGGCATTTTGCCCAAATCATCACCTTCGCCAACCAATTCACAACTATCTCGAAACACTGTCGGCGGAAACCTAAGTTGTCCCATTCCACAGTTTGCCACAACCACTAGTCCACTACCGAAGATCCATACCATATATTGTCTTTATAATCCTCGCATTCGCCCACCAATTTACAACCCACTTTTGAAACATTGTAGGTGGAATCCAAAGTTGTATCCCTACAACATTTTCCAAAGCCGCTATCTAAAATCTATACCATATTTACTTTGTGTTGACGAGTTTTGTATCCCTACAACATGAGAATTGAACCCAAACCCATGAGTGTCCATCCTATTTCGGTTAGGTCAAAGCGACTTTAATCCGACTTTGGTATTTTTAAAATTCTCTTTTTCCTTTTTGTTGAGAATGATAATCGAACTCAAACCCAAGGTATCCAATCTAATTCATCTAATCAAAACGACTTGAACCCAATATTTATTAGTTTTTGACCGGGATTGAGTTTTATTCGATTTTTTAATTGGCATGTTGGGTTAAGTGTGAATTTTGTTAAGAAAAATTGGTTCAACCCGGTCAAAGCGTGTTGAACCTTTTGTTTTCGAGTTTTGCCAGTTTCATCTGCTTTAGTGTTTGTTAATTTTTTTTCCTTTTTGATTGAGAATACTAATTGAACCCATACCCATGGGTATTCAACCTAATTCGGTCCGATCAACGCAAGTTGAACCTCCTCAAACCTGCGATCAGCCCCGAAAATCCATAAAAAAGAGAATCAAGATTAACTTAATAAAAGCAAAGAAAAAAAATTACAAATTGGACAATATCTTTATGAGAGAAGTTTAAAAATATAAATTATTTTCTCAACCATTCTTTTCCCTTATGAAAGTTTTTCATTTAGCCGATCACATGTGTACATGACAAACCCATGGAAAGAAAGATTAAGAATGAAATAAAATCCTTCTACTTTTGGATCAACATTATTTAAACTATTACTCTACAAAATATTAGGTTGTCGCTCACACCCGAAGCAATAGCGAGCGGGCTTATATGGAAAAACAACCCTAGTCCTAACACTTCTCCTTCTCCCAGGAGGAAGAAACGGTTGTTAATTATTACAGTGCACTCATTCAAATGAGTGCATAGTATGCCTCTAACCTAAAAATAGTCTTAACCATTAAATTTTAAAATTTAATTTCTAAAATTAGACTAATATGATGATATAACTTAGAGCTACAATTCGTTCAAGCATTATCATAAGCCTAAACCCTAAATCATGTATCCTATGCTATAACTCTAAACTCTTATATATAAATCCTAAATGATTTGCATGGAAATTCATCCATACTCTTGGTATCTGTCATTACAATTAAAATTTGTTTAATGTCTTAATTGTTTCGATTTCACTTAAAACCAAAATACAAATACGAAATCATTCCACCCTAAATAAGTCAATATTCGTCAACAACATGCTTTATCGCAAACTTATGTGTAGTAGACATTTTTACTATCGCATGTTTCTTGTTGTATTATCTGGCTCCATTGGATTTTGCAAACCATGTATTTGGTTTATCCAAACCAAACCAAAACCGTTAAGGGAGTTATCTATTAACCATTACTCGATAAGCCCTTTTAAAAAAATTGATTTTGATTTTTTGGAATTTGCCTAATTTGGTTAACAAAACTGATGAATTGAGGCCATCTTTGATTGTTAGGATTCTCTAAATTGATGCCTTTAATTAATTTATGTATTCTAATTAAATGCATTGTTCAATGTATGAATTTAAATATTACATTATTTGGAGGTTGAATAGTTTTAGTGATCCCACAAAAAATGAGGAAGAAAAATTGAGATATTGACAATCTCAGCTTTTTGTTGAGATTGAAAATCATCCATAATAAATGATTGGGTAAAAATAATATATTTGCCACAACTATTATGAAGCGGGAAATTATAGCCACAACAAATTATTAGCCAAACTTTAACTATCTATAACAATTCCTTTAGTAATACTCACAAATTTTTTGGGTTTTAAAGTTATAAATTAAAAGCAGTCCGACGTGGCTGTTGCCGTGACCGATGACGTGGCCTTCTCCGTTAAAAATTTAATAACAGTAACGGACAGTTAGCCATATCTTGACCCGCGACGATAGTTATGGCTAATAATTTGAATTTCCATAATTGTGGCTATAATTTCCCGCTTCATAATAGTTGTGGCTAATATATTGTATTTACCCTAAACGATTTGGTGATCGCAATTTTTGCTCAAGTAAAAGTATCGTGTTTCATTTTAAGACAAAAAAATGATGAATTATTTTAATGACATGTATTGTCAAAATATATTATCTGAAATTCCAATTTTGAAATGACCCATGGAATGGATTGTCACATCAGAGGACTGGCCGGCGGTCGGATATGGCGACCCAGGGAGGAGTAAGTATAACTCCTAGCTTTATTCAAGAACAGTTAGGGGTGAGTGTTGTTCAGTACCCACTTGTCTAGTAAACGCGATTTTTGGTAATTCTTGCGAACTTGTGGCTTAATTATTCTAATGGATTGAAACCATGATGAAATATTGGCCACATGCGCTGCTGGATCGCAGTTTTATGTTTAGTTTAATTGCTAATACGTACCTTTGTGGTAATGGTAATACCAGGCCACTTGTCTTAGGAATCCTTTAATTTTACTGTTTGTTTAGTTTAGTTTAGTTTGTTGTGGACTGGAACCACGATTGCAAGTTGGCCACATGCATTGCATTTGCATGCGCTGGATCAGAATAATGTAGACTCCTTTTGTCTGCTTTATGTTTAGTTTAATTAGGGTTACCTAATACCTTGTGTTAAATTTAATTAATGGTGAAACAAAGATGAGTGCGAGGCATGCAACTGGCCAATGGGGGGCAGGTAGCGTGGCCGTGGGAATCTAGCTTTATTTTAATTTGGTCCGGAATAACAACTATACTTGTTGTTGTCTGTTCATTATTTGTTATATCTGACCAAGTGATGAAGAATGTTTAGTTTATTAGTACTCCTTAATTTTCTGGCCGCCATTAAAAAGCTCTGATGATCTCACTCTAATGGAGACACCACCGTAGCGCAAGCAACGAAGAAGTCAGAATACGTAGGTACTAGTGCGATGGCGGCTCTCCTGGCGACCGGCTTAAAGGCTCTCTTCTTGGCACTAGCCTGCGCGTTCACCGTCGTTGCCTGCTACGTTTACCACTACCATCCCATCTACAGCAGGGACACCTACACCACGTAATTATATTAATTAATACTCCGGCCAGGCCAGGCCAGGCCAGGCCATTAATTAGATCGAGCTAGCTAGCGAGCTTGCTTGCTTCTTTCAGTTTTAGCTAGCTATTTTGTCTCTCTCTTTGGTGATTTATTCTTGCAATACGCAGATGGTTGCGTACTGGAATCGCTGAGTTCTTCGTCAACATGTCCCCTTTTGCGGTATTTATTTATTTATTTACAGCTAGCTAGCTAGCTAGCTTCTTGTGCTTTCCGAGCGATTGCTCTATAATCTATATACATAGCTAGCTACAGTTTATTAGATTGACTTGGGCTCTCTCTCTCTCTCTCTCTCTCTCTCTCTGTTTCAGCTCTGGGTGGTCTACAAGGAGTCCAGCTTTCTGCATTCCGCAATTTGGCTACTTGTGATGTTCCCTACTGGCAGGTATATATATGTTCATTAAATAGTAACGAAATCGAGATTTAGAGCGAGCGAGCGAGCGAGTCGGCTAGGAGTTGTAGTCCCTTCTAAACTATCTAGGCTTACATATATATATGTGTGGATTGAAGATGTGTTAATTATGTGTGTACGTACGTTCTCTGTGCTCACCAATACAGTGCGGTGGTTTGCGGCTACGTCTTTATTCAGCTTCTCAAGTTGTCACCTCAAGAATCCCAGCAAGACCCTATCTACCATGTGCTATTGCGACACGAGCACAAGTACCACATATATATTGTCTTAACGTACTGATTCTTTCTGTTATACGTACGTGCGTACTTACAGCTAACTAATGTTATAAGGAGGAGCTATGATGATGAAGAGATTAAGGGGAA